TTCAATCACCTTTATATATTAACAACTTCAGATTACCATTTATTTTGGTCTCAATTCCTTAGGTCAAAAAAATTAAAATTTAATTTTCATAACCATGAAAAAGAAAAAGACACCTAAAGCAGTTCTTTGCTGAAGAGGACAGAATTATAAAGTTGCCTAAAATACAGTTTGAGTGGTGGTGAATATTTTTTTTAGTAATGTTCATGTCAAAAATTTAAAAAAAAAAAAAACTTTTTCCTTAAGTTTTTTGGGGTCACCCAATATATTAAAACCTCATTTATTCATTTTAAGTAAAATTATCAGTAAAAAAAAATCTTTGTTTATCATTATTGATTTCCAAATTTATGCATACAGAGTATAGAGATTAAAAATTATATCAGCATTTTCCCCCCACAAAAAATTATATGGAGTAGCAATGTCAATAACTAATGACTTGTAATGAACAAATATCAATAACATTAACTATTATTATATTTACAGTTTTAATAAATCCAGAAGTTAAGAATTTACCAAAATGTAATTTGAAATATACTATTAAATCAGAAAAAGTATTAAATCATTTGAAACTTCTTTGAAGAGTAATTTTTAGTGCTGACCCAAATTTAAAGAATAAAGATAATAACTTTATCATAAGAACAATCATCCTAGATATTTTAAAGGCTTTTGACAAAGTGTGAAATAGGGGCTTGCTGCACAAACTCTCCAGTTATGGAATCCCTGGTTGAGTCTTTGCAGTAATTAAGTCTTTCCTATCAAGTACCTCCAAAACGATCATTCCATCATCAAGCAGACTCAGAATCTTCTCCAGTTGTGAATGGCTATACGCTCAATGAAGTTCCTTGCCATGAATTCAGATTTAATTTCACTCCAGATATCAAGTGGAACTCATATACAATCTATTGCTAAAGATGCTAGAAAAATGGTTGGTACCTGAATCTTTCCACCATTCACTCTCTTTACAAAATCAGATTGGACCAAAAATGGAGTAGGACTGCTATCTCTGTGCTGGGGCTGCCCAATCCCTCCTTTTCCAAACTTTGATAGAGTTCAAAACTGTTTATCCTGTAGGTGAGGAATTATTTCCCATCCTTTGTTCACATACAAAACATCACTATTTCCATAGTAAATGGTCAAACAAGCTAGTCCTTGGTTCCACCAATGTAGACTCTTACAGCTCAGACACCCTGCTACATACAAAGATTCAAATCTACCTAGACTGTCACCCTTCCAAAGAACTCCTACTTTGTGGAACATGCTCTGGAGGAGGTGCTTTCTTGATACTTACAATCATAAATCTTAACCTCTTCAAATCTTACAATCAACTTATCTATCCTACATAGCTTTACAATCTGCACTTACTTACACCTCTTACATTCATACTATAACCTAAGTAACCATCTACCTTGAGTGGCTCTTTGGTCTTGCATTGGGTGAACAATTCACCCTTAATAATAATAATACTTTGTAAATTATTCATAAATGTTGAAAAATAAAACAACTTTTGCAAAATTTCTACCCCAAGGGAGATAACTAACTTTTTTCCCCCCCTTGAAGTTAGGGGTAGTATAAAGAATTACTCATAGAAAATGAATTTATTACAATTGTAAAATGAATAAGTTACTGCTTACTAAAATTAAGCAGACTGTTGTAAAAAAAAAAAAAAAAATAATAATAATAATAATATACCAGTATTCTATGGTGTTAAAAATATGAAGGCAATAAAAACAAAAACAATAAAATTTGTTTTGGAAGTAGAAATTTTCTTTTTAATTACTGCAGTAATTATTGCTATTGAAAAAAAAAAACAAAACATGAAGCAATAAAGCCACAATTAGGCAAATAGAAAGTTTATATTTGGGTTAGGGTTTGTCATCAGAAATTTACAAAAAATAATTTCAGACCAAAATCTATTAGTACAATTGCTAACTGCCAAGGCTTACCTATAAAGCTTATTACACAGCTGTTTAAGGTTTCCTATAGCCCCACTGAACTTAAATAAAGTCAATTCAAGTTTGCTATAGTAAAAATTTTCTATCCCAAGTAAAAATCATCACAAAAAAAGTAAAAATCCTTTTGTCACAGCTTATTTTCTCTGAAAAAAATGGATTTTCATACTTTTATAAAATATTGAAAAATGACTGTTTTATCATCACCTAAACAAATATCAAGGAAACTTTTGATCTGAACCCGATGAAACTAGGTATTTTCTGAAAGCAAAGGATATATTCTTTCATTTAAAAGTAAAATTGGCTGATGTAAATGACTCAAAATTTTTTTTTTCCGGGGGTAAAATGTGAAAAAAATAGTGAAAATTTTTCATTTTTTCTAGTTCTAAACAAAAACTTTCCCCATTAATGGGAAATTAACCATTTTTTTTGAAAATCAGAAAGCCTAAATCATAATCAAACTATTTCAGGCATAAAATTGATAATTTTGAAGGAAATCAACATTCCTAGGAGGTCAAAATCCATTGGTAATTTTCAATTATATGACTGCCAGGGGTTAAAAAAACTGACATCCGGGCACGGAAATCTTTAGTAAAAGGCGAAAGATTTATCTGCAATTCCTGACCACCAAAAACCAAAAGTTTTTTTTGTTTTCTATTTACCCCCCCCCCAATAATAATAATAATAGTAGCAACAAGGAAAATTAAGCCAAATTGACTTTGACATGTCTAGGTCAGCCAGCAATAAACATTAGAACAAGTTGTCGTCAGCTTGTAATAAAACCCACCACTCCCAGATAAGAGCAAAGAGTGAAAAAAAAAAAAAAAAAAAAAAAAGGGGGGTCAACATTGGTAGGGTTTGATATAAGGTTTCATCTTTTTTTTCTTTTTCCAAACTTCCATTTGAACAATGGCTTGATGTGTTTTGTTTTTTAACACCCTGTGACCTGGGTCATGACAACATTTAGCAGACGACATTGATTTTTCTGCCGCATGACTTTCCCATCACCGGACCATTTAGCCATTCCTTTTACTCAATGATGTTCACACCAAATTAAGGAGAAACAGATGAAGTTTGAATGATATTTTGAAATGAAAATAAATATATTTTTTCATAAAAAACAGAGTTTTTTCTCAGAAAATTGGGTATAATTTCTTAATGCTAACCGCTGAGTGACATTTTCCACAGCCAAATCGAAGATTAATTATCAGAGAATAATTCCATGTGCAAATAGCTGTCTGTCTGGATCCTATAACATTGCCGAAGTTTACTGATTGATCGAAAACTTGTTGCACATAATTGTGTTTTTCACGGTCAGTTTCCATTATTTCATCTTGATGTCATTTTTAGACAGCCAAGTCATCAAGGATTCACGAAAACAGTTTGGTATAGGTTTGCTTTAAGAACTTTACATTCTATGAGGTGTTTAAAATGTTACTGACGAATGGCATTTTTCACCGAACACGTTGGATTTTCTTATGACAAAAACAAAAGGTTTTAAACAGCCATGATTACGATGCCTTATGATTTCCAAATCTGTACTTTAGGTATAAACTACATACTATAGACATTAGTGGCTTTTGATGTTGGTTAATCAGCAACCTATCCATCCTCTACTGCAATCGCCAATTAGTTTTATCTTCTATATACAACACTGAAAAATGCTTGAAATTATTTTAGTAGAAAAGGAAAGGTGAAGCAAAGTATAAAACAAGTGCTACATATGCCATTTGCTCACTTATAAAACAGGCACATCACAGAATAAAGACAAAGGAACAAAAAGAGTGTTGACTTCATTTCTCATTCCAAAATCTATTATCTTTGATGGTGTCATTGTATTTTAAGATGAACATTTATAAAATGTTTTCCATTTTATTAAAGAATTCTTAAAAGATCAAGATTCCAGTTTATTAAATGAATGCATAAATTCCAGAAATTTAAAAGCACCTTCTTTGAAAAGAAATTAGCAAAATCTTTCAAAATTAAGAGTAAATTTATAAAACTGATATAATTGGTCATGTATCTAAGGTGCTGAAAATTCCTTGGCCTGAATGACCAAAAATCAGAATTTCTTAAAGATCTATTGATCAGGGTGGAAAACTTTTCAGATACTTCTTATATATTTCAGTAAATTAAACTTATAATATCTTAATCCACAATGATATGTCTATTTTATAGTTTGTAAATGCAACAAGAGAAATGAATAAACAAATGTAAGGAAAAACTGTAACAAGTCCAATGATAAAACTGATATTCACAAATCAAGTGCAACATTCACAGCAATTTCTTGATCTTTAATCATTGCAAATTGATAAATAGAATTTGTGCATGACTTGCAATCATTTTAAATATGAAAATTAAGAAAAGTGATAAATAAACTTCTGATAAAATTCTCATTCCAGACAACCATAAAATAATTTTTCAGATTTGCTTATTGTTATTAAAATTTCTCTTATATTTTTAAATGTAGTATAAATGTAGTCAAATTAATGTTGGCCAGTTAAGTGGTATGCAGTTTCTTCAAATGAGCAGATACAAATGATTCATTTATATAACACCCTACCATCTATTTGCCTTATGTGTTTATACCCAGAATTCATCTGCTTTCATGTTGGTACACCGAGATATGTTGATGTTCTTAGCTGACACCAAGTACAAAGGTTTGTGTGGAACATTCAAATTCAATTCAGACCACCTGGCAATTCCTGGTATGAATTGTATACTACAGTAACCAAAAATCTTTTTGAGAATTATCACTAATCCAAATATAAAATTATTTTGGGATATGTGGATATCAAAGTTATTTTCTATTATCTCTATAGGCCCGAAGAATATTTTATAAAATTTATCTAAGAGAAAAAAAAATACTTATCTATACTATAAATATCATTATCTAGGCATTAATCAGACAAGCCCAGGATACACATAGTCAATATAAATAAACAAAGAAAAGAAATAATGAATATGAGATTTTTTTTATTACAATGCATATTTCCTGCTACCATGAAGCAAACAAAACCTTTTACGATCAATTCATTGTAATTCTCATTGTTATTAATTCTGTTGAGCATTTACTGCTTGTAAGCTGTCAGCCATGAAAAGTTTACCAAAACTCTGAGAGGTAAACTCAAGAATTTGTGTGCAATAATTGTCAATCTGTCCAGCAATCAACATGCTATCAAGACGTTGTGGTGCTTGCAAGGGTTTAAACAATTTATTTATATCCTCTTCAGGCAATGCAGGTTCTCCTTTAGCAGCTCGGGCAGAGTTCTCCTGTTGCTGAAACACAGAGAAAATAAATAAATAAATAAAAAATTTTTTTTTTTTTTTTTTTTTTTTTTACAGGAAATATTTTACCAGGAAAGTTGGTAAAATATTTCCTGTAAAAATTATATCCTTTTTTGATTTGCTTGACTCAGATATTTTGTTTGACAAGACAGAGATAATGCTGTGAACTTTGTAAAAAGCAAATCCTTTTTGTATTATTGTCAACAGTTTGGGAGATTTCTTGTGAAGGGAAGCTAAACTCTAGGAATCATCATTAAAATATCAGACATCAACTAGACAAAACACTGATGCAGTGATAGACATCTGACCCAGTTTACAAACAGGCTTTAATAGATAGATTCCATGTGGTAAACAGTTGCAGGTGAAATAACATCTACTCCAGGCCTAGCACTAGTTGACATCTTTAATAATGATCACGGATAATACTTATTTACATATTTTCATGTTAAAGTGAGACCTACTTACAAATTAAGCACAGAGAATGTAGAAACAAATTCCAGTATTGCATAGTGTTAATGAAGTAATACCAAAGTGAGAATACAGAATACAAAAATACTAAGCAAAAAAAACTTTAATTAGTCAAATAGAAGTTAGAAAATTTGTTTTATTTTTAGTCATCAGAAATTTATAAAAAATGATCTAAACCAGTTGAGTATCATAGAAGAAAAAAAATGGTTTTCAAAGAGAACATCAAAGTTGAAGATTTTATAAAAGATTCTGTATTTTGGTAAAAGATAGACAAGTGCAATAACTTAAAAATATATATCTTACTCTTTTATGAATATGCTGCTGTTTAGACTGTTGTTGACGCTGATATAATTTTTGGAAGGTGAGATATTTGTTAGTATCAGCTGCCACATCATCCACACACTCAATCAATTGACGAAGATTCTTTTCTAACATAGAACTGAGGAGAGAAGAAAAAAATATTACAAGTCAAAGATGATTTCAATTTGGGTTTGTATAGTTTTTGAAAAATAAACATATCCTGTTTATAGTACTTGAACAAGTGAAGAAAATAAAAAAAAGTTTTCTATGTATTACGGAATAGAAAAAAGAAAAAGAAAGGATTCTGAGAATTTTTGTATACATACACTTAGTATAGGTACCTCCATAAGATCACTAAAAAAGAGCATAGCATGACGAAAAAGACACCAAACTTGATGAAAACAAAACTTTGTCTAAATGTTTATATTATTATTAAGAGGAAAGAGGAAAGATTAAAGTATTTTGGGGATATTTTTTTTTTTTTACATTTTTTAATTGTTCCTAAAAAATCTCAGTTTGAAATTCTTTTAAAAATCAATTATTTTTCAAAACTTATTTTTAAGAAAATCAGAAATTATAATGTTTATTTAAAATATTTTGAAACAAGCTTAACTTAGTTTCTGCGTTGAAAAGATGTAGTTTGAAAATAAAACCAAGCCGGTCATAACATTTCGCGTCACTTGACAGGTGACAAAAGACATTTTCTTGATGTATTGATAGCTTACATGAGGATAATTTATCCTACGGAAGGAGAGAAGTGAAATTAGATTTAAGTGAACAAATTATTTACCTTGTTATTTTTAAGTACTTAGCTTACACTTTTATGTTTACGATGCTTTATGGAAAATATATTATAAAGAAATTAAAATAAGACTGTTGAGAGTGAGATTAAATTTCATAAAATTGAAATAAGACGACTCACTGAAAACTGTAGAACAACTTAACAAAATTGAAATTGCAATGAATTATGTAAATGAAATAAATGGTACTTTTAAAAAGGTAGTAATGTTGCTGCAAAAAATGGCTTAGGATGGTGTTCAAAATTTTAATTAGTAAAAACACTAATTCAAAATGCTCAACGTGTTTGGCACAAAAAATTTGCAATAATGAGATGGACGTTCAGCGGAGAACACTTACACTCAAGCCATCTGATGTTTTATTGCTTGTGACCTTCCATACTTTTTAATTACAGCCATTTTAACGATTTTTTTTATGAACACAAAATTACATTTCTTAATTACTGCAGATCTTCTGATTGGACGAAGTGATACAATGCTGCTTTCAACAAATTAAAATAATTAAAGAAGTAACAAATAATTGTATTAAAAATTCATTTTTCATTTTTTGCTTTCAGAAAATATTGTCCATATTCATAAAAACAACTAAAAGGAAATAAAAGCCTTTGAAATTAAATAATGTCTTTGTTTTATTGAGTTTTGTATGTTACAATTCAGAACTGATTTTCAGGGTGGGGGGATCCAGTTAAAAAAAAAAATGATTTGCATTCCTCAAAGCCTTGTGCTTTTGACTAATATAATCACTAAACTGAATGCAATTAAATTTCTAGATTATTCATAAAATTAGTTTTTTTTTTTTGTGGTGGGGGGTGGGGGGGAATAAATATAAAAAAAATATTTCTGCCATGACTTTAATAATAATAATAATAATAATAATAATAATAATAATAAAAAAAAAAAAAAAAAAAAAACACACACCAAAAAACCCACATTTATAATAATTTACCTCATCTGAGAATAGTTTCTAAAAGTTTCATTAACACCCGACAATTACTTTTACAAGATTTTCCATATTAATGTCTGTCATACAAAAAAAAAAAAAAAAAAAAACGTGCTAAAAATTGTATATGTTATTTTACTAGTTCTGGTGATACAAAGAGAAAAAAGTTTTATTTTTTTTTTAAAATCAAAATCTAGAATGTTCTAAAAAAGAAGGAAAAATTTTTTTGAAATAATTAAAAGAAACTTTGGTCTTTCCTCTTAATAATAAACATTTACATGATAAAATTTTGTTTTCATCAAGTTTGGCATCTTTTTCATCATACTATGCTTTTTTTTTTTTTTTTTTTTTAGCTATCTCATGGAGGTACCTAATTTAGTATATAAAGATATTGGTATATTTCATTAAAGGATCTTCTGAGTAGAAATGATCTGGCTTCAAATCATGAAATATTTTTCAGATGATAGTTGAAAGATTTTTTTTTCTGTCACCTAGTCACCACAAATTAAAATGCTATTTTACAACAGTTATCATCAAAACAGGCACAAACCCATAACTATAGTTTAGAGTATTGATGAGATATAATCAAATGTTTTATGTAGTTATTAAATGTCTAACATCTGATAAAAACGAAAAATATACTTGCAGTGAAAAATGAGAAAAATATTTTTTTTTTTTTTTATTATACTCATGAAGAACAATTGAATCTTTAAGAATACTCATTTTTATCACTATTGAAAAAAATTATAAATCTTTTGCAACCTATTGTTTTGAGTTTAAAAAATATAATAAACTTCAAGATGACCGGTACATGAAAACTGCATTCTGTTTACAATAACTGTCTTCAAATTTTAGGGTTCATTTTTGATGAAAATTGTACAATAAAACTACCACGTTAATTGAATTTATATAATAAACTTTGATTACAAATGTCTTTTACAATAATAACTGTTGAAAGAATTTTGACCTTAAGAAAAATGGCAGAGTAAATGTGTGAAGTAAATCATTGAGAATATCTTTGTTTGCTGTTTTTTTTTTTCCTTCTGGGATTACTTTGGTTCCAGAGCAATGCCTTCCCTAGTGACCATTATGCTAATGGGACAGGGCCTTTGAGAATTCCTAACATCTGTAGCAACATTCCAATAGAACTGGTCGATTTGGGCATCTAACCCACATTTATCTGTGGTGGAAGAACAAATACCAAGAACAATAAAGGGCAAGTCTTTAAATAGCCTTATTGCAGAAGAAGCAACATTTCTTGTAGATATAAGAAGTCAAGAATTATAAAATAAATTTAAAATTTAACCAAAGTTGTTAAAAATCTTTTTTTTTACCTGGTGGCTAAGTCCAAAAATTGATATTTTTCACTTTCAGTTGCTTTTTGCTCCAATTCACACATGAGCACATTAACAAGATGAGAGTTTCTGATGACAACTGGAATCTCTGTGAACATATTCTCAAAATTCAATTTGAGTTTATTCACCGACTCTGGTGTAAATTCACCTTCTTTGTAGAAGTCCATCATGGCATCAGTAAGACGATAAGCTTTTAAAGACAGGAAGCCTTGAGTGGTCTTAATGGGATCTAACAGGAAAAAACATAAATCAGCAATAATCACAAGGAGGAATTAAAACAATATTACCTGATTAGACATACTACAAAAAAGTAAATTATCACATGGTTCACCTGAAAAAGCTTGTTCTTTAGCTAGTTTAAGTTTGAAACAAAAGATTTTGAACAGGTCTTTCTCAAACTATATTAGATTTCAGCATGGGTGTGGCATTCTTTGCTCACCAGAAAAAGAAATTGAAAAGTATCTCCATATATGAAATCATCTGTGTTACATATATTGCTGAGAATAGCATCATTTGTGCACCTCGCTTTGTTGAGAATGAGCTGAATTAGCCATTATATACATCATTTCTTTTCTGTTCCCCCACAAAAAATAAAGGTCTATCTTTCCAAATGGATTATACTATACACATAATGAAGTCTGTAGAATGGAGGAGTCAAAATACTACAGTAAAAACAAAATTAGTTCTATAATCCAAACAAATGTTTGGATTAAAATACTCGATTAAGTACAAAATTCTACAATACCCAATAAATTAAAAGTTGATTGAAAAACAAAGTAGACAAAATTAAGAAAAAAAAAAAAAAAAAAAAAAAAACTAAAAGAGTGACATTAGTCACTTGGCACTTAAATAAGCAAAATATTAATTAATCTCCTTTGACCCTAATTATGTTGTGTTAAGAATTATTCTATAAACAAGGTTTTTAAAATTTTAAATTAAATTTTAAGAAATCACAAGTTATCAAGTAAATATAAATTATGTAAATTCAAACTCTTAATTACATGGACATTAACATTTATGATATTCAATATGTATGACATTTTTTTTAAAAAAAAGCTACATTGGTTACAGATTTGTTGCTTAAAGCAAGGTTTCATAATTTCAAATTTGGAGAAAAAAAATATATCAGTTGATGAAAAGTATTTATTGTGAGCAGTTTGTTTTATTTTTAGCACAGAAAAAAAAAAGTTTATTAGAATATTAAAAAAATAATTAGATAGAAACATAATATGAGTGAAGGTTGAATACATGCTTACCATAAATAAGAACAATAGACTCCTCAATAGAATGTTGGTAATTGTATTGAGACTCCACAAGAGGTCGGTTGATGAAGGAACCAAAATAGGTACTTTGGTACCAACCAACATGTAAATGATCAATGTTCACATGACGCAGATTACGAAAAATTTCCATCTGGTATTGAACTGTAATCAAAGATAAAAGTTATCTATTAAGAGAATAATAAAATACTATTTCAAACTGATTTCATTCAGATAAAAAAAAAAAAAAGGACATTTTTAAAGTACTTCAGAGTAATTTGTAATAATAAAAACATGACCATTATGAAAACATTAAAAAATTCCATAGTTGTGTTTTGTTTTTTAAAAAAGAAATTTTAATTGTTAAATCCTTGAAGTTCTGACTAAACTGTTATAAAATCTGAATATGTGGTGCTAGTTAAATTGATACATCCCCAAAACTGTTGCAAATCAAGTGTTACAAGTAGATATATGAAAGTAAATGGATTTCTCTTTCAAATGATACCATTAGCCTCATTCTTGCACTTTTCATTGTAATTCTCATCAAAATCATCCAAATCACTGCTATCATCACCTGCAATGGCATCAATGTTAGATTCAGCAGCAACAATCATCTCCCCTGCCAATGTGCTATTTCCTTGGAAAGAAAACTCCCTCAAACTGCTTCACTTTTGCTGTTTAACATGATTCACTAAGCAAAATCACAATTTATTTTTAAAATTTCTAATCACAGTATGTCATTACAAAAACTCACAATATTTGAATAAAGTTTGTATGAAAAGGTATTTGCCTTAAAACCACTTCCCAAAATTTAATCAGATCAGAATTAATTTTAAAATACATCCTTGATAGATTTGAGAACTTTTCAACACCCACAACATATGCAGGTTAACAATTCCAAATAAAATTTATTTTTTTAAACATATTAGCATGGAAGGAGGAGGAGGAGTTGGAAATGGCTATTTTCCTGGATAAAACCAAACAAGAGCAGCTGACAAGAGCAGAAAAATATACACAAGAGAGTGTGTATGTCCCTAATTAAAAGAGGGGAACAAACCACTAAAAATATTTTTATCATTATTTTTTCATACAAGGAAGGCACGGTGGATAGTGGCTCAGATTGAGGAATCGGAGAGCCGAGTTTGAATTCCAATCAATCCATTACTTACGTGCTAATACCCTTGGAAAAGGTATGAATCCTCTTCTTCTCCCAAAAGTTATGGGTAAATAGCAGGACAGACCAGGTTCTATAGTCTTTGATAACAACTAGTCTACTGCAGAAAGAAATGGCAACCTACTGCAGGAAAAAATCTGCCTTGTCAGCCATATATTGAAAGATACATGATCACCTAAGTATGTATCATGCATGGCACATAACTGACTGACATGCAACAAAACAAAGAGTTTCATTGAAGTGTTTTAGTGATTTTTTTCAGGATTAAAAAGTTTACAAGACAAATAAATAAAACATAAGAACTGGTAATTCAAAAAAGAATAATCTCTACTGTTATCGGAACATTTATCATTTAAAAAAATTTTTTTTTTATAAAGACTTATAAAATATTCAAGTAAAAAGGAGTTTCATTGTTAAATGAACAAACCTTCATCAAATTCCTCTTCTTCAGTGTGTCTGGGGAAAGGAAAGCAGTTGGTAATCTCCAGACGGTTTTCTACCACAAGACCAAGCAAGACGCCTTGGACAAAGTCACCAGCACCTTCTTCTTCGCAATGTTTAGCAATTTTGAGGACCACCTGAAAATATTTTAACAAAGAAGATAATTCCTATAGGTACTGGCAAACCAATCATTAAAATCAGATTGGAATCCTATCTAAAGAAATTTTTACTGCACTTGCTAAATTTTCTAATTTTTAAACAGCAAGAAAAAAAGAAAAAGAAATAAATTCATTCTTCAAATCAAATAAACTTATGCTTGAAAGTAGTTAATTTTAAAGCAATAAATTTAAAACAAATTCTCTAATTTTCTTTGTTAAATGAAAATACAAAGCAGCCAAAATCCTAATAAAAAAAAAAAAAAAAAAAAAAAAAACAAAAAACAAATGCTCTGTGATCTTAAAAAATAAAAAAATGTGTAAATGTTCAATTCTATTCATGTCATTTTTTTCATTTCAAAAGATAATCTTACAAATCCTATACCTCTTTGCAATAAGCATTCCAACAAAATAAAAAAAAAAAACAAACAAGTCTAAGCATGTTATAAAACATTTAACTAATATTTTTGAAGGTATTTACTAATTATAAAAACACATCAATGAGGATATGTTTTGAAATTTTAAAACAATTACATTTAATAGATGGACACAATTTTCTGTTATAAGTAGATACCTTCACAGAAAATATGATACCCAAGGTTTAAAATGAATCTTTATAAATGAAAAATCTTTCTTGAAGATTTCATTTTAGTTTTAATTTCAAATTAATAGATTAAATTTAATATTTCCAATAAGCAAAGTACTTGGTTGTATATCAAAAACTAATTTAAATTGACTGAATGGAGTTATGTTTTTTTTTTACTAAAAATAGCTAATTAGCGACCCTTTTTAGTCATCTTTCATTGCAATGTAATTCTCTTTATTAAAAAATGTTTTTATACTTTTTTGAAACTTTATTTTAGCGACCCTTTTTAGTCATCTTTCATTGCAATGTAATTCTCTTTATTAAAAAATGTTTTTATACTTTTTTGAAACTTTATTTTAGGAATATTAGCCAATTTAAAGTATAATTAATCTGATTTGAAGCAACTATTTACTTTAAGTTTAATAATAAATACATAAAAATACATTTTTTCTGCAAACAGTAGTTGTTTATTTAAGGTGTTAGCAGGTCTGACAACTTGATATTTTATCTAATATTGCTCTTTTAGTTGTAGGCATTAAAAAGTAATTGAATTAATATGAGTGCATTTTATATAATTTTTAAGTACTCGGTATTAATCTAACATTCAAGAAAATATTCTCATTATTTACATTATTTGGACTATTGTCCTCGTCTTTGTCGCCATATTTATTACGTTTCAGCCGTTGTACGCTCCTTCTTCAGGTGGTTGGAATGTCGAACTGAACCCTTTATTTTGCTCACTGGGGTAGACTGTTCTAGTTCCACGTGACATGTTTAATGGATGTCAGTTATCAGTTATCACCTGTTAATTTTCCCTCTGAAAGTTCTCCACTGCCTTAACCAGGTATTGAACTCACACTCTTTGGGTCCTGTCACTGGATCTAACTAATGCCTTTATCCAAGCTGTAACACGAGGGGAAGTGGAAAAATCAGGCGTGGCTGACCACATATGGAGAGAGAAGGGAGATCACCGCCCTCTGTGGGATCAGATTGAGATCATAGACAAGGAACACCATTGGAAAATTCGTAAACTTAAGGAATCAACACATATGCTAGGCCACAAAAATCTCCTGAGCCGACCAAGCATAGAAATAAATATAATATGGGAACCAGTAATAAGGAGTGCCAGAGAAAAGCAATAACAACAACAAAGTTGCAATATGAGCTCTGGTAAAAACATGAAATGATAACAGGAAAAATTGCAATATGAGCACTAGTAAAAAGGTTGAGGGAAAATTAACAAGAGATAACTGATAACTGACATCCATTAAACATGGCACGTGAAACTAGAACAGTCTACCCCAGTGAGCGAAATAAAGGGTTCAGTTCGACATTCCAACCACCTGAAGAAGGCATGAGCGTACAATGGCTGAAACGTAATAAACATGACGACAAAGATCAGGACTAATGTAAATAATGTACATAATACCTCATCTCAGAAATATAGACAAAAATATTCTCAGTAATCTAATGTTTTTATTGAATTTTAAATATTTTGTCTGTAAATTTACTAGTTATTGCTCTTATTTTCTGATAATGTCATGTATGACTGTCCATATAAAAAAAAAAAAAAAAGTAATACACATAAACAAAAAAAAAAAAAAAATCAAAATTCTTTTAAAAATAATGGTATTTGATGATTTGTACTAAGCTTTTCCATTTAGGATGAGTAAATATAATTTTTACTTATTAATAATAAAAGGTTGAAGTTAACGCAGAATTTAAAAAATTTTAAACTGAATAAATTATTCTAATTAAAATTTTTAAAAATAATAATGACAATAGTGTCCCTAATATCTTATTAAATAAGCTTTTCTAATTAAATAATAGCATAGTTTGTATTTTATATTCTATGATTCAGAGCACATTTCTGGTAAATAGAATATATTTATAATCTGATTGACAAAAACAAATTAACAACTTCAGTTCTTCAAGGAGTCCTGCTTTTCACTAATACAAATATGAAGAGGGTGGAATTTTATTTTCTCAAAATTCCATAAAACTAAGTGGGAGTAACAGACGTATAAAGAAAATAAAAATAAAAAATAATAATTTCATTTATTTGCAAATAAGTCCTGAAAGTTTCATTAAAATCAGACATTTTATTTTATTTTTGCAAGAATTTCCAAAAAAAGCGTTTTTATTTACCACAAAAAAGACAAACACTAATTTACTCATACTAATCTTTGGCCCACCATTAAAAAATTTAATAAAATAAGCACCAGGAATTGTGTCCTCTTCCACAATGGACTGTTGAAAGAAAACCAAATATTTTTCAGGATGAAGACAATCATAGTTCGCCAGATTCCTTTTCTTTAGTATCTGTGAATTATCACGACTTCAAGAAATATAACGGTGTAGTTTCCTGTGCTTTCTCCATAGCTCTAAATTCAGAATTGTCTTTCACCAAGACTAGCTGCCAATCAAGGCTAGAGAGCTCAGTTTGCCAAGTCCTTTAACCCATAGGTATTGATGGTGTAGAAAAGAGAGAAATTTACATATTTCCCACTGGTATTTGTGCAAAAGTGAATGCAACAAACTAGAAAACTTGTATTTATCAAGACTGCAATGAATACTTACAAATGTTGCAGGTATTGACATTTACATTTTTTTCTTTTTAACAGAGCAATATGAAGAACAAATTTTTAAATTATTTTGCAAAATTTAATTCATAAACAAAATTAAATTAGCAGCAATGTAGTCATTTTTACTTTTATTTTTTTCAGTATGTAAATAAAAAGATTTTGATAAAGAGTAGCCCATCTTTCTCTCTTATATATATATATATATATATATATGTGCAATTTTTATATTATTTATATATATGTCTGGTACTTATTGAGTTTGTCTGATGATTGCAAATAGCATGAAACCCAGGGTCATATATATATATAAAAAATATGGAACTGTTTCAACACTAGTTAGGCCTGTCAAGAACAAAATATTTTTCACCTTTTAGATCATATTCTGCAAGGTTTTTCTTTGAAGCAAGCAAGGAACCTGTCACCATTTTCAAAGAATCTTTTAGAGAACAATTCAACATTAGAATAATCGAAAAGCATCAAATTAACAACTGTTTTTATAGTTGATGAACTCTGAGAATTTATGTAATAGAATATACTGCTAATACACAATCAAGATCAATAAACATTCATTCTTTACAACATACATTGTTTACCATCATTGAATTTTAATAAATAAGAGGTGAACTCAAATAAAGTGCTGTCGGAGAGGTCAAAATTTTAATAAGTGCACTTAGGCCTGTCAGTAATAAGTGTACGCCCCACACCTCACCACCATGTATTTGAGAGGCAAGAATATCAGCATGAGAATTTATTTGCTAATTCTTGTAATGGTATTTAAAAATTATTCACAAAATACAAAAAATTGTGATGAAAATAACTGGTCACAACAATATTGTTTAATGGCTTCTTTCTCAAATAGTGAATCGGAATTTTTTTTTTTTTTAATCATTTCACCCCAAGCAACACGGCTGTTTAAAACCCTTGTTTTTGTCATATAGGAAAATCCAACATGGCGCATAAACGAAATATTCTGCCAAAAAATCTCATTCGTCAGTAACATTTTAAACACCTCATAGAATGTCAAGTTCTTAAAGAAAACCTATGCCAAAGTGTTTTCCTGAATCCTTAATGACTTGGCTGTCCGAAAATGATAATAACAAGATGAAATAATGGAAACTGACCATGAAAAATACAATTATGCGCAACAGGTTTTCGATCAATTAGTAAACTTCTGGACCTTTTAGGGCAACTTTATAGGATCCAGACAGCTATTGTTTGCACATGGAATTATTCACTGGTAATAAATCTTCGATTTGGCTGTGGAAAATGTCACTCGGGGTTAGCATTAAAAAATTATGGTCAATTTTGTATGAAAAACCACTTTTTTTTTTTATTTAAAAAATAATTTTTTTCACTTCAAAACAACTTTTTTTTCAAACTTCAATCCTTTGTCTTTACATTAGTGTAAATATCATTGAATAAAATGAACTATTATATGACCCGGCGATGGGAAATACAAAAGGTATATAGCAAAAAAAGCAATGTCATCTGCTAGTGTTTTTGTCACCCAGGCTGGTGACAATCGAAATAAAAGTGCAGTTGAGTTATTTATTTATTAATTCATTTTTTTAGAATAAATCTGGGGATATGTTTCAAAGAAAAGCAAAAAAAAAAAAAAAAAAAAAAAAAAAAAAAAAAATCGAAAACATTACTTTTTTTTTAGTTTTCCTGATTTAGAAAAAAAAAAAAAAAAGAAAATATAACTTGCTTTTGTTTATCTTTATCCAGCTATTTTAGAATTAATGAAAGAATGATAGGTATAAAAAAAAAAAAAAAAAAAACAGGCCTATTCTAAGATAAAAAAAAAAAAA